TGATACAGACAGGCTCGACCCAATAACATAATGGACATGGTGCAAAAATTATTAAAAAACCTCTTAAACTCTATTACAATATGCGAAAATACTCTATTTAAAAGAAAAAAATTTGCTGTAAAACCCAATAAAAATTTGGTTGAAAGTAGTGCAAATGCACCACTTGCCCTACCCTAGAACCGGCCCTGGATACAAATGGACTGAATATAAATAATTACTGCGTGAGATTTAATTGTTGTTTTATGAAAATATAAAATCATAATCCAAACACACAAAAAAACCCAATAACTTGATTGGCAGACTTTGGTAACTTGATTCGTACAGAGAGATAATATAAAAACAAACCATTTGACGTTTCCGACATGTTGCCTAAATCTATTAGACCTAACCCAGCTCTCCATTTGACGATTAGGAACAAAAATACTGACAATGGGCCAAAAGTTGGGCTTTATATTATGTTTGTTCTCATGCAATTTAAATAGAAAACGCATTAACCAAAAATCAAAAATCCCTAATCCGATCGGAAACAGAGAATTTTTGGGGAGATTTCATCACCACTAACAAAACAACAAAGTACCCTAATCCCCCATTGATGGAGAAATGGATTTGCTCACGCAAGATCTGTGGGCGATCGTACTAGCTGGATTACCATTAAAGAGCACAATCACCTCCAAACTCGTTTGCAAGCAATGGAAATCACTCGTCGAGTCTCCGTTTTTCCGCGACCTTTTCCTCTCTCACCACCAAAACTCGTATTCTTCTTCATGGTCCTTCATGTGTAGAGGTTGCGAGACAGAAACAATGGCTCACTACGGATCCGACAGTTGGAATCTTAAACGTTCTCTCGGTTCTTATATCTCTTCTTTCCTGTCCGAAAAGTTCGAGAATCGACAAGGTAGAGTCGTCGCTTACACAGATGTCGGATTGATTCTGATTCATGTCGTTACTAATCAATCCTTCTACGTAGCTAATCCTGTCTCAAGGCAATGCGTTGAGATTCTTCCTCGAGATGGTCCTCGAGAAACTTTCTGGATTTTGGGAATTGCGACGAGAACACAAGACGGTGTCGTTTTGGGTTACAAAGTTGTTTTGTTGAAAACTAACTTTAGTTTCTTGGTTTATTCATCTGAGACTGGCTTGTGGAGTCTTGAAACTGTTCGTTTTCCTTTCAGTTTTGTCTCTCAGGAGTTTAACAATCCCATTAGCTTGAATGGACAACTTCACTGGCTCGCACACAATCTTGAGCATCAAGATTTTGTTGTATCGGTCGATTTCTACGCTGCTACTGGCACGGGTCCTGATCGATGCCGTGCTACGCCTTTCCCTGATTTAGACAAGAATCCTAAATTCAAAAGAGTTTGCTCGACTTCTCAAGGATTTCTGATGTATATGAACATAGTCTCGGAACAAAATAAAGAGGATAAGTTATGTTTGTGGAGGTTAAAGTGCGGTGAATGGCAACTAGTATCTGAAATCTCCCCGGCTTTTATCGAAGCCAATATGTATTATATTCCGTTGGGGATAAACCCTATTGATGCGAAAACAGTCTACTTTTGGAGCGGGGATCGGAACCACCAATGTTTGTTATCTGTCAATTTACACAATGGGGAGTTTGTGCTACACAATGAGTTGGAACGCACCAGCGAAGGTCGCGTTCTGAGCTCTGTTGATGGACCGAGAGATATGGAATATGTCTTAGAATCGCACTTTTCCTCATTTGTTCTCCCGCAGTGGCTGCATTGTTTCCCGAGCGCGGTGAGAAATGTTCAGAACTAATATTTGTAGGACTTCACTCATTTCTTATGTTCTCTTAATTACTGTTAGTTCCCTATGCAAGAGGAAGACGTTGTAGGATGATGTTTGGTTTAATTTTGACTGTTTTGGTTGGTTATGACGTTTTGTAGGTTTGATTGCTTGATGATCAAAGAAGATACTAATATATATATATACACTTTAATCACTAGTTCATGCTCAAGATTCTTTTTTCATATAGTCAGAGTCCGGACACAATGTTATCGGTTTCGATATATCGTATCTGATCAATAAAGAACATAAGAAAATACAGAAACAGAGTAATGAATTTGAATCAGGTTGTCTGAAAATGTTATTGTGTTACATGTGTGCATAAGCAAGAAGCCCTTCAGGCGTTTCATGATCTAATTACTTCAAAGAGTACACACATCATGTTTGATTTCTAACCATACAATGATTCTTTTTATTTCTTGCTTCTTGTCTCAGTTTGTGTTGTACGGTTTTAGTTGGACAATCAGTTGAGCAATGAGGCTATGGATTTGTTTTCTGAAAAACAAATTGAAGTTTGTTAATTAGTAGCATAAAATACGTTATTCTTGTTTGGATTTATGTTACTGTTATTGTTAGTAGTGAAAACTTGGATGGTTAAATCCATTTTGATGGACGACAAAAAAAAACAAATCCATTGTTCTGCAATGTAGTCACTATTGCGAATAAGTAAGTGATCTTCCATTTGTCGAGCTCGCTATTTCTTATTTTTTACTATAATTTTGCAGCCCACCAAAGGAAACAAGTACAACAAACAAATTTTCTATTGTTTTTATTCTTCTGATCTAACTTTTAAGATATCTCTGGTTTTTTTCTTTTAGTCAAATTTCAAACTTTCTCAAAAACCAAATATTTTAGAAAAATGCTGGAAACGCGAAACCAAAAACGAAATAACTGATGTCTTTATGTTCACTCACCAAACTGACGACCATATATTTTTGTTCACTCACCAAGTTACAATCCACTCGTAACTCTGAATTCATCGACCTTTCAGTTTTTTCGTTTTGAAAGGCTAACTAAAAAGAAAACTCCAGACTTTTCTTTTATGGTTACTTCAGCATATAACTACAGTGTCCACAACATATACCTACAGTATCACGCTTGACACATTTTCTCGAGAGGACAAGTCCATTATCCTTCTAATGATGTTTTGTGTTGCCTCCACTACCTTCTCTGCATAAATTCCACTTC